TCCTTTCTTATAAGACAACAGATGTGTACTATTTAACTAAAGTGTACAGTATAGTAACAATAATGAAGATCCTTACACTTAATTATTATGCATAGAAAATAAATACCTCTTGATTGTATGATGATAATACTAATAAAGGCAGAGAGTTCCCCACCATCCCCTGAACACACGCTTCCTGCATCAACATGTGCCAACAAATTCGCTTCTCACACATTTTACTACACAACGATAAGAAAACATTATATATCTATCCTTACTGAGATGATGTACTGTATTAGTCAAATAACTAGATAGATATTGTAACCATACACTACATCCATCCATATTGTATAAACTTAACTACAAGAAATATATTAAGTCACTAGAAACAACTAACCAATTATCAATCTCAATTGTATTTTTTCTTGAGTTTCATCTTCATTGGTTTTATAATATCATCCATCACTGAAACAATCACAGAAACACAGACACACATGTATAAGACCCTTCTGTAATTTGAGGTCACCCTCTATACATATGTGCAAGTGTTAAAACATGGAAGTATGCTCTCACACAATTATAAATAAGGCAGTACATTAGCAATATACACACGACAAACTTCCAGGTACAGTACAGTAAAACCTCAGATTTTTTTGTTTTTATTAATTACAGTATATGAATTTAATTTCTTTAATATATCTTCTCCATTTCAGCTTAATAACCATTCAGGTGGTCAGTCTGGTCTCTGTTACGACCATCAGGCCACGGACTGTATCCAGGACACAGTAGTAAGAGGCAAATGTCCCAAAGTATGATGATAGTGTGAAGAAAATGTGAACTGTACAGCCATAGTTTAAGGTGGGCCTCTCTCTGATGTGTGTAGAGTACAGTACTGTATAGTGTATCAAATATTTAGTTAGTGGTGCGTTGCTACTACTAGAATGTCCGTACAATATAAAACAAGGTACAGTATTCATTATTTCATAAAAACAAGTCAACTTGCCATAATTGAGCAGGAAAAATAAAAATCAATAAAAATATGAAATTAAGTACAGTATAAATTAAAGATGGTGCAGTGCTGCCAGCAAAGTAAGGTCTAATTGTTTATGGGAACAGAGGGCACAAAACCAACCAAACCTTCTCGACATTAATAAAAAATACTGTACAGTACTGTTTATTGTTTGGTCATTTGGATAAGATTAGGTACGACTTGTTTAGTTCATTCCGTCTGTTGTAACAAATGAATTATGGTCACCTGGTCTACACACTTTATTATTATTTTTTTTACCCTTACAAGGAGAGCTGTTTTTAAGCAATAACAAACACTGAGTAACCCATGTAAGTATTTCTCCTTAATTATTGTGCACCAGTCATCACCATCCATGCTTTATGAACATTTACCTCATAAAGGTCAACATTAAAAGCTTCATGGCATTAAGGTGAGGAAGGAGGGGGGGATACTGACTTTCTTAAGACAACCAAGCCTCAACTGGGCTACATTCTGAGGTGCGACTGTATAAAATGTTTTCATCTGTAACAATTATAGCTGTGCTGGACGTTGCTAGAGTTTAATGAAACAAACCTTGAACAGTACAGTATCATGTTAAAATAGTATTTATCATGTTGATTCATCAACTTTGCAAGAGTAAACATTTGCATCTTCTAGCTTTTAATTTTTTGCTTAAATTTCATGAGGTGGTACAATATGTTGGTAATTTGTCCCTTGATTAGAATATACAGTCCAGGGTGATTCACTTGCTGGTAGCACCTTCTCCCTGTATACTTGATCTGAATTTAACTAATGTACAAAATGTAGATTTATGTTACTGTAATTTCATCCATGATTCATAGTGTTGCAGGCCAAATGGACCCCAAACTTAACCTTCAAACTTGGGGCTCCTTACAACTAGTCTCCAATCCTATGGTTAAGTTAGGTTAAGTTATATACTGTATAGTTAGTCACTGATCACAAGCCCACCATCTCCACAGTTGATACAAATACAGTGCAGTGCAGTACCAACATGACGACAACAACAATAACAATAATAATAATAAAAATAATAATAATAATAATAATAATAATAATAATAATAATAATTATAATAATAACAATAATAATAATAACAATAATAATAATAATAATAATAATAATAATAATAATAACAATAATAATAATAACGATAATGATAATAATAATAATAATAATAATAATAACGATAATAACAATAATAATAATAATAATAATAATAATAATAATAATAATAATAATAATAATAATAACCTTCCTATATGTAACAAATCTTTCAGGTTGTTCCTTTAACATTATTACTCTTTACCATTTTTTGGGGGGCAAACAGAAAATAAAATAAACCAAATCACACAATATTACAAGAAAAATTAAAGTACTGTATACAGTAATAATTTACCTCACACAAGTTCTGTAATAAATATATAGACATCACGTGAACTTTGGATGAGGTCTTTCAGGTAAGGTGTTCACAGTCACTTTATCTGTATGACCCAAATCTCACAATAACTTAACAAGAAGGATTACAGTACAGCAATATGCTCCATAGAGTCATATACTGTAACTGCAATCTGATAAGTGTATTTCTTATTTACTCTCTGATGCCGCACAGAGCAACCACTTGTTACCAGTTTACAATGCACTGTATACCAAACAGTAAACTGGGTATTGCACTCAACAAATACTGTAGTCTATAAACCGGTAATCACCCGATCAAACTACCACTGGGAAAGAAACCAGAGACTCATATCTGCAAAAGTTTAGTTATGTTTCAAAATTAAAAATTGATCACTTCATCCTGAGCTTACTGATCTATGAGATACCTATCACACATAGTTTATTCTAATGTACATTAATCTATCAGATATCACTAATAATGTTCTATGTTTTCATCACCTGCCTGTACATCATTCTCACCGGTATTGTAAATGGTGGAACAGGTGCCACAATGTCATCCAATATTTTACCATAGTAATTCTCTAGTTCTCATACACCTACACAGAAACACTAAACATCTACAGTGTTGGACAGATTCCTTCAACACACCTGGTAACACCTTTACAGTACCTCATCTACTTGTGGGTCTTGGATGTGTTTGATTTATTTACTTTTCATTATAAGTTACGTGAGAAAAAGTTTAAGAGGAAATTCTTTAATACAAATAAAAATCTGAGTAAACCTTGACGACCCTCAGGTAGACGCCAGGTACAGTATTAATAATAATGTTGGTAGAATTTTGTGTGTAACTGTGACTTTGATTTAATCACTTTACCACTAGTTAACTTAATATTCAGTTGGATGGTCGGTCAGGTGTCTGCCATGCACTGTTGACAAGTCTGGCCACTTCAATGAATTGGAAAATTTTCATAATTTAATAAATTACAATAATTGTGATTGCCATCCAATACCAGAATTTTATACTGTATAATGTTTTAATTTGTACCTGTGAAAATTTATTGGAAGTTGTGAAAGTAAATGTATCAACATTTTCATGATGTTTCCCTCTTTAACATCAGAGATACAGTAACTGTTGAGTAGAGTAGAGCAGAGCAGAGTACAGTACTACCATCATAACCAAAAGAGGACAACAAAAGCTATGTACTCGTAAATCTCGTACATCATCATCTGGATTGTTTTCCTTTTGTACTAAACATCAGATTTTTTTTCTTAAAATTATAAAAAAATAATACTGGTCTTATATATTACCAATAAATATAGAATATCATATGGAGGCGGTGTACATATTTCATCTCTTACTAACTACACCATCACTACATCACAATCACTACACCACCACCATCACTTCACCACCATTCTTCATTTAATAACCTCAAAATCATTATAGATAGAACATACCAGTTTTATTATACTTGACAAACAATTCATAAGACTTATAGGTTCTTTGACATGTGTGGGCCGTGTTCTGTCAGTAATAACATTGACGTTATGAAGGTTTAAAATGGGTCAGACAACATCCTCACTTGTAGTCTCAGCTTTCTCACAGACAGGCACAGACAAAGATAAGAGCGAAACATACACACAAAGATAAAATAGAGACAAAGAAGAGAGAGAGTCTACATAAACCCTTCACATGTGGTATACTGTAGACTAACTGTGGATGGCCAGGAATATGATGAAGGTGATGTATCAAGGGTGACTTTGCCTTTTCAATTTTTGCCCAAGAAAATAAAACCTATGTACAGTATATTATTTACAGTATCAACCCTACTGGGATGATACTGTATCCACTTACTGTACATCTGATTTACCGTATGCAGTCCTTTAATGTACATCCGATTAATGTACATGGTTAACATACGTTCGCTTAACGTACATCTACAGTATTTGACATACAGGTTTTCAGGGGCACATCATGGACAATACATTAAGCTGACACTAACTATACATTTTTGCAAGAAATGATGGTTAGCCCTTCAAGACTTCCTCATAACACAAATGTTACTGTACAACAATGTATAATATATTGAGTGACCATATACTGAAGGCCGGGAACACTGGTCAAACAAATTAAGACACAAACACAGATTAAAATGTGCAGTTATGGACAAAAAGAATTCAGTTGGCAGGGATAGAAGTGGTGTTTGGGAGGGTAGGGGTAGGTGGAGACTTGGCAATGTTGTAGAGAGTGGTGGTTAAAACTCTGTGGTTTTCTTTCAATACCACAAATTGATTCTTTTAGTTTAATTGTGAGGCAGATGCAGCTTACACTCCCTCCATCCCTGTCTGAATTCTTATTGTTCACACCTGTACCTAAACATAAATTAGCATGAAATAATGGAAAATTAAAATCTGAACAAGTTACAATAAGAAATAGATTTTAGACTTGTCCTATTTCTTAAAAAATATTAAAAACATTCTAAAGATTTATTTTTTTCATAAATTCATCCATTCTTAAATTAACACAATAAGATAAATTTAATTATTTACATTAATGGTGGGCAATAATGAGTGAGTGACAAAGGCAGTTGTTTTGTATTAACTAATTCATCACTGCAATAAAGTTATCATTGTTATGAGTGAGTGACAAAGGCAGTTGTTTTGTATTAACTAATTCATCACTGCAATAAAGTTATCAATGTGTGAACCCTTCAGTGATACAACTACCTTACAGTATACTCCACTGAACTGTTCTGTAATAAGGATTATTATAAACATGATACAGTACCTATAAGGTTCTCCAACTTCTTCAAAATGATAACACAAAACAACTGACAGCTGCCACAAGCCCACTAAACTTACTATATTCTTCATACAAAAATACGCCTCATTATATACAACTGGCGGAGGTGTGAACAGGACAACAACAGTACCGTACGATGTGTCTACTGTAGTACCTTCCTAACACTGAGTTTACCTTCTCTTCCAATGGCTATTGTGAATCACAGAATAACACGTCTAATCAACTTGTTCTTCTTCCTCACTAGTCCAAACAAACTGTATCGGTGGAGACATAGACCTATCCTTAAGAAGCTGCCAGCATGTATCAAATTCACTAAAGAAATTCATTAACGACACATAAACTACCATCACCTTTACTAGTAGAGCTTATCTCAGGACATGTACGACGGGTGATGAATTGGATGAGAGATGGACGGATGGAATGACTGGTTCAATCTCTCTAACTCCTGAGGCTTGACGCGTCTACGGACTGTTCGTAGTGACGTGGCCGAACGTGCGGACCTGGACGAGTGAGAGGACGACGACCGCCGACTCCACGACCCTCCAGGAGACTGAGACTGTTGTGAAGGACACCATCATTATAACACAAGACCTACTGATGCTATGTAGATAGATAGATAGATAGATAGATAGATAGATAGATAGATAGATAGATATATAGATAGATAGATAGATAGATAGATAGAAAGATAGATAAGTAGACAGATAAAATAGGTGGACAAATAAAAAGATATAATACAAGTTTACAATTGGTTCAGCAGAAAAAATATACACACTGCAGGTATACAGTTCAGTATGTAATATGTATAGACAACACAGGTATATAGTTCAGCATGTATACAGTTCAGCATGTATACAGACAATACAGGTATACAGTTCAGCATGTATACAGACAATACAGGTATACAGTTCAGCATGTATACAGACAATACAGGTACCTGTATACAGTTCAGCAAGTATATAGAAAATACAGGTATATAGTTCAGCATGTATACAGACAACACAGGTATACAGATCAGCTTGCATACAGACAATGCTGGTACTGTACAAACAATACAGTTACACTGTATGTAGACAATGCAGGCATACAGTTCAGCATGTACCAGGTATATACACAATGCAGGTACAGTACTGTATACAGTTTGGCATGTACATACAATGCAGGTATATACAGTTAAGCATGTGTACAAACTTTACAGTTATACAGTCCAGCATGAATATTGACAATGTAGCTATGCAGTTCAGTAAAGTATGTACTGTACAGTATATAGACAATGCAGGTATAAAGTTCAGTATGTATACAGACAATGCAGGTATACAGTTCAGCATGTATATACAGGTATCCTCCCGATTTACGGTCTCCCTATTTATGATATTTCGCCTGAACGATGGTGATGTATTAAGACCATCTCTCTATTTACGATCCCAAAAATTCACCTGAACAATAGTCATCGTCCGGCCAAAATCGCAGACACATAGAAAATAGAACACATCTCTTGCTGCACTTGTAAGCTGCAGCGTAATCTACCCTCGCGGCGCCACCCAGTGCATTACAGTCTCGCGCTTTTTTCCAAGTTGATCACTTCTGCCTGTGATCATGAAGCTCAATGAAATTATCGGTCAGTATTGGAGCTGTTACTAATCATCGGTGTTTTTTTTTTTACTTTACAGTGAAAGGACATCACTAACGTTCACAATGCACTCTGTTTTGGCGTGTGTGAGGTGATTTTTGCTATTTTTTTGTGACTGTAAAGTGCTTTGCCTCTATTTTTGTTAATAAGATGTGAGCAGTATTGGCTGCTTAGTTAGTACAGCACATTCTAAAAAATTGTGTACTGTATATTTCATTATTTCAGGGGAAATAACCAAGAAAAGTTGGAGAGGAATTTTTCTGATATTTTCAAGATCGGCGGCCACTACGCAACTACGGTACAGTACTGGCTGCAAAGTTTTATGGCTTAAATCAACATTTTCACAGAAATAGACTCTACCTTTAAATCGATTCCACCATAATATTTCTTTTTTCCTCTCATAAAGTATAATTTACCTGAAATAAGATCAAATTCTAAACTTCTTAAAGTATTAACCTGTACTAGACACACTGACATAGAGAAGAAGACTGAGAGGAACATGTACACAACTGTATTAATAACCTGTGTTGCTCTGGGGGATTGGTGGGCCAGGATCCACTGGTGTCTGAGAGCCTCTACCGCGGTCATCCTCAAGTGTGGGTCAACCTCCAGCACCTGACGCACGAAGTCACGTCCACTCTCACTGACCTCCTCCCATACCTGTGGAACACCACAATTATGAACACAATTTATGTCATAAGCCATACCACAGTACTTCCTCAGTTGCTGTAACACATTTCTAAAATGAAAATGAAATAAAAAAGTTGCCCTTGTAGTAAGTTTGGGTTGGGGATTGGTCTGTTCTTTGTTATAACCTTTATTGTCCAGTGTTAGTAAAAGAGGAAAATGTAGTACCAGGAGAAAACCTGCATGTTTGGTGTTGTCACTCTGGATAATCCGATAACACCCTTCTCACATCTGTCCAGGGACAGTATTATATTGTGTTGCATTGTACATCAGCCTGTGTCAAGAATCACACAGACCATCTACACTGATGAATCGCTTAACACTGCCTGAAGGAGGGCTGGAAGTGCTGTCATTGTGGTTCAACCAAATGGCAATGCAATTGAGAAAAGAGTTATAATCAATAATTGAATTATGTAGTTGCAAAACTCACAGCCATAAAACTTGTTGAAACCACTGACAGTCTCATCATCACTGACTCCCTATTTTCACTACTTGCCCTTGACACTCTCAACTTAAGTTGTTGTACGCTTGTCTCCGAAGCCAGACACAAATATGGATACCCGGTACCTAGTTGACGGGGGTGTCAACACCAAGCTGTTGTGTATCCCCTCTCACACAGCCCTCAGTGAACATGACAGTTGATACCTTAGCTAAACTCGTGTCTAACAAAGACACTGTTGAATACACTCTAGGTATGTCAAAAGGAACCCCTATCACTTACAGATGAATTTGAGGCAAGCAGACAAGTGCAAACAGGCAGTAGTCAATTCATTGTCTACTATAATGAGAAGTATCAAGTAAAACATGTTTATGGGGCAAGTAACAAGATCACTAGATTACAAGATGTTGTAACCGCTAGACTAAGGTTAGGATACAAGTATACTGTACCTCTGGCATTATGTTCCTCACGGAGATGTGAAAAAAACTAATTGTAAAGTGTGCGGCCAGACATATGGCCACACACTCCAACACTATGCTCTAAGCTGTGAGAAGACAGAACCTTTTAGGAACAGGTCCAAGTACACTGTGTGTGTGTGATGGTACAGCACTTTATATCTAAGGGCAAGATAGCTGACATATTAAGATTGTAGATATTTTGCACTTAGTAGCTGAGTCAATTAATAACCATAACGTGCTTTAATGTTTCTCATGTAGATGTATTACAAAGTGTGCCTCACACTGCTCTATGTCGATTACACAAGTGTGAAGAAGTCAACCTCTATGTATAGAACAAACAAATAAAACAATATATTGGAAATACTCGTTAAGACTCAATGCCACAACATCCTGACCACTGGAGTCTATTAAACACATCCTTTGTGTTTTATTCTGTAATCCTTTTAGTACCAGTGGTTACAGGAAGAATAGGTGCGCAATAAACTAGCTGCTGCTGTCTGCGGCAAAATTAAAAATAAACAAATAAAATTCCATACGAAACTAAGAGCATTAAATGTACACAGATAATATGACGATAATAGTAATATTTAAATGTGTCTTACACTATTAAACATTTACACACTTAAGTATGTACTGTTTATCAGTCCGTATTAAGTTTCATTACATCTATATATAGTAACTTACACAATGAAGATATATTTACATGTGGTTCTATTAATACACATCACTGGGACCAACACCAGTCATTTACAACACATTTATCATCCCTACTTTTTATTGCTCTTAAGTTCTAATACACCATTAGCTTGTGAGCAATATCTTACAATACCACTGTACTGTGCTGCACTGTGTTGTTTCAGTAAGAATAGTACTGTACACAATTAGATCTAAGCTACAGTAATTGAGCATGTAGATATATTCTGAAATACTGCAGCGCCAGTGAACTGTATCAGGTTATGTACACGAGGAACAGTGTTAAGTGCACTGAGTACTGTACACAGGGAGAGTACACTAACATTGTACTCTCTAACTAGTAAAAACCGAGATCAGGCTGAGTACATATACCCACCCCCACCCCTTCCATGAAGTGAGGGATGGGAGATGGAGAGGAGAGGGGTGAGGCGAGAGAGCGAGGGAAGAAGTAGGGATGGGAAGAGGTAGGGGAAGGGTAGGGGAGGGAGAGGTGGCGCCTGTCGTGTTTGCGTAGTGTTGTGTTGTGTTGTGATGACGTCATGGGGTCTTATCTAATATGGCGCGCGCACACACACACATTTTTTAAAGTTCTTACATTGTTCATCTCTCTTCCTACCTGTCCTTACCTTAACCCTGGCTGAGTGCGTGAAGTGGCAAGTCATCGTACTCAAGGGTTTAAGCAATCGTACTCAAGAGTTAAAGATGTTGCACTCAAGGGTTTAGGTCATTGTACTCAAGAGTTTAAGAAGTCGTATTCAAGAGTTTAAGATGACGTACTCAAGAGTTTAAGACGTCGTACTCAAGGGTTTAAAACGTCATACTCAAGGGTTTAAAACGTCATACTCAAGGGTTAAGATGTATACTCTAGGGTCAATATGTTGTACTCATGGGTTTAAGACGTAGGGGTGTGAGGCTGGTGTGGGTAGTCGAGTGAGGGTGGTGGAGTGTGGGTGGTGGAGTGGGTGGGTGGGGGTGTGTGGGTGGAGTGTGGGTGGTGGAGTGGGTGGGTGGGGGTGAGGGTGGTATGGGTGGTGGATGTGGTGGTGGAGTGTGGGTGGGTGAGTGTGGGTGGTGGAGGTGTGGGTGGTGGTGGGTGGGTGGTGGAGTGTGGGTGGTGGAGTGTGAGGTGGGTGGGTGGTGGGTGTGAGGGTGGTGTGGGTGGGTGGGGTGTGGGGTGGGTGGGTTGATGGGGTGTGGGTGTGGAGGTGGGTGGGTGGGGGTGGGTGGTGTGGGAGGTGGTGTGGGTGTGGAGGGTGGGTGTGAGGTGGTGTGGGTGGGGGGTGAGGGTGGGTGGGGGTGTGGAGGGTGGTGTGGGTGGGGGTGTGAGGGTGGTGGGTGGGGTGAGGTGGTGGGTGGGGTGGGAGGGTGGTGTGGGTGGGGTGGAGGGTGGTGTGGGTGGGGGGTGGGAGGGTGGGGTGGTGGGGTGTGGAGGGTGGTGGGTGGGGGTGGGAGGGGTGGTGGGGGTGGTGGGGGGTGTGAGGGTGGTGTGGGTGGGGGGTGGGAGGGGTGGGGGTGTGGAGGGTGGTGTGTGGGGGGTGGGAGGTGGTGTGGGTTGGTGGGGGGGAGGGTGTGGGTGGGGGGTGTGAGGGTGGTGTGGGTGGTGGGGTGTGAGGGTGGTGTGGATGGGGGTGTGGAGGGGTGGTGTGGGTGGGTGTGAGGGGGTGTGAGGGGTGGGTGGGGGGTGGGAGGGTGGTGTGGGTGTGTGAGGTGGTGGGTGGGTGAGGGTGGTGTGGATGCGAGGGTGGTGGATGGGGTGGTGTGGATGCGAGGGTGGTGTGGATGGGGTGGGGGTGGTGTGGGATGGGAGGGTGGTGTGGGTGGAGGTGGATGGGGGTGTGGGGTGGTGGGGGGTTGGGAGGGGTGGTGTGGATGGAGGGTGGTGGGGTGTGAGGGTGGTGGGACGGGGTGTGGGGTGGTGTGGTGTGAGGGTGGTGTGGGACTGGGAGAGGGTGGTGTGGGGTGAGGGGTGGTGTGTGGGTGTGGTGTGGATGGGAGTAGTGTGGTGTGGGTGTGGAGGGTGGTGTGGATGCAGGTGGTGTGGGAGGGAGGGTGGTGGGATGAGGGTGGTGTGGATGGGTGTGAGGGTGGTGTGTGAGGTGGTGTGGATGTGGGTTTGAGGGTGGTGGATGGGGGGGTGTGGGAGGGGGTGGTGTGGATGGGGGTGTGGGGTGGTGTGAGGGTGGTGGATGGGGTGTGGGGTGGTGTGGGTGTGAGGAGTGGGGTGTGAGGGTGGTGTGGATGCGAGGGTGGTGTGGGTGTGGAGGGTGGGTGTGGATGGGGTGTGTGGGGGTGTGAGGGTGGTGTGGTGTGAGGGTGGTGGGGGGTGTGGAGGGTGGGGGTGTGTGGGAGGGGTGGGGGTGGGGTGGAGGGGGTGGGGTGTGTGGGGGTGTGAGGGTGGGAGGGGGGTGTGGGGGTGTGGGGGGGGGGTGGGTGGTGGGGTGTGAGGGTGGTGTGGGTGTCAGGGTGGTGGGTGTGAGGGTGGTGTGGGGTGGGGTGAGGGTGGTGGGGTGAGGGTGGTGGGTGTGAGGGTGGGGGTGTGGGAGGGTGGTGTGGGTGTGGGAGGGTGGTGGGGGTGTGGGAGGTGGGGGGAGGTGGTGTGGGTGAGGGGTGGTGGGGTGTGGAGGGTGGTGGGGGGAGGGGTGGTGGGGGTGGAGGGTGGGGGAGGGGTGGTGGGGGGTGTGGGTGGAGGGGTGGTGGGGGTGGAGGGTGGTGAGGGTGAGGGTGGTGGGGGGTGTGAGGGTGGTGGATGGGTGTGTGGAGGGTGTGGGAGGGTGGTGGGGTGAGGGTGGTGTGGGATGGGGGTGTGTGGGGGTGTGGGGTGTGAGGGTGGTGGGGGTGTGGAGGTGGGGGTGTGGGAGGGTGGTGTGTGGGTGTGAGGGGTGGTGGGTGTGAGGGTGGTGGGTGTGAGGGTGGTGGGGGTGTGGAGGGTGGTGTGGGTGAGGGGGTGTGAGGGTGGTGTGGTGGGAGGGTGGTGGGGGTGTGAGGTGGTGGGGTGTGGAGGGTGGGGTGGGAGGGTGGTGGGGGTGTGAGGGTGGTGGGGGTGTGAGGGTGGTGGGGGGTGAGGGTGGTGGGGGTGTGAGGGTGGTGGGGGTGTGTGAGGGGTGGCGGCGCCAGCCTTGGTACCAGCGGCCTGCTTGACAATGGCAGCATTCTTATCCTGCACTCTGGCCCCTCCCTCCTCTCTCCCTCCCTCCTCCATCCATCCCTCCCACTCTTCATCTGTCTCTCCCTCTCTTCATCTCTCCCTCCCCCACCCCCCTTTCCTCCACCTCTCCTTCCCTCCTTTTCTCCATTTCTCTCTCCCTCCTTCACGCCCGTCCGCCCACACACGTCATCACGCCCACCCGCTGCCACTCAATACCCACTCCACCACTCAATATCCC